TTTTGCAAAGGGTTCTGTGAATTCGCATTTAAAACTGGTGTTGATTTCGCTCCTTCTAAAACGTTGAGAGCCACCAATTAAAACCCAATTTAAGATAGGTTTTGTTTTACATTTCAAAAGGGTTCTTTTGGTAGTGATAATAAAATTGATACATTTTTTCCCATCATATCCTTGATTTGATAATTTCCTTAATTAATTGTTTATTTTCATACAACCATGAGCCGGTAAAGCTCTTGCTAAACTGAATGACCCGAGTTCAAACCCCATGGCAGATGAGGCGAGAGCTATTTATCTAACAGAAAATATTCCAATAAAAACAAAACAAAAAACTGATGCATTGCAGTTTGTTCTTGACTGGACAAAGTCTATGGAAAAAAAAAAGCAGGATGAATTATGGAATCAATGTGCCATATGACCCATAAAATGTTGACACATAATACTTAACTGAAAGAGAGGTAATCTCCTTCAACATTACAACACAGAACACAAGAGGAAGACAGAAGTTAAAAAATTACTTTTCCAGAGTAATTGATGAGTTATATACCCTTATTGGTGGAAATCAAGCCAATCGATATTTGAATTGCAGTATAGAGTAGCTTATTATTATTTCGGATTTAGGGATCAATGTAGCAGGTAAAGTAGAGTACACTTGTTTTTGTGAGTTCGACGTATGAAGGGAAAGTGTATTCAGCTTCTATGCCAAATCACTTTTACTTTCCTTCAAGTGAGTCAGGTACCCATCAGAGATGGATGAACTCTGGGACGTCTTATGGTTTTGAGCCCGGGATCCGAACTTAAAACTTCTAGGTCAACCGCTGTTCGCTCTTCTGTCCGACCACACCGTCCCGAAAATGTAAGTATAAGAATTTGTCTGAAATGTGAATTTTAAATAAAGTAAGACGGTCTGAGATTATCGATAATAGAGGAAGTAGGACTCATTAAAATTTGTTGAACAACACGACCCTTGTTTATTGACGACTCCTGTTGTTACGGGGTAGTTGTAGGTTAGATAACAATAGGTTAGAATAGTCTAGAACGTAGGGGAGAGGCGTGTGTGAGTTGAGTTCACCCCGAAGTGTTTAGATAATGTTATCCCAAGGTCGAGTGCGGTGTAAAACGAATGTGAAGGGGGTTTGTTGGTAGCGGCTAAGGTCTTGGGCTGATGGTGTAATGGTGTAATCGTGAAGATTGTGAACAAAAAAAGGATTAAACAGTGCATTCAATCGTAATTGGAGTTGAATGATAGTCGGTCGTAACACCTGACCATGTCCGAGATTTAGAATTGTTTTTAATCTCGTCATTAAGGGTCGTTAAGGCAAGGGAAATAATTACGTAATTACACTATGCTGCAACAGCTTGATAATGAGGTCAGGTGGGTAACTATGACGCTGAGAAAAAATATTTTTGAAAGTTGACGCCAGATTGAGAGATAAAGCTAGATATACAAAATGTTGATGAGACTTTTGAAATGTAACGGAACAAAAAATCATTATTTTTGTAGCAAGAATTTATTTTTAATGTGTGTTAACATTTTATAAGCGATCAAGTTAACAAAAATGTTAACCATTTTAAAATTTAAAAATTGATTAAAAAAATCAATATTGTGTTTGCTACACAACATCATTGATCGATTTATTACTTTTTTTTTAGAGCAAGGTGAATCGATAATGAAATCACGGCTAACCTAATGGTTTGTTTTGTTAAACTCCTGATAGGCCAATACAGGTGATGTGTAGCATGGACAGAACAAAGAAAATAAAACGGTTTGAATTAACACGAAGGTGATACTATGTTCGCATGTGTTTAATTTAATTACACATACAGATATAAGCGCATTAACATGCACACGCACACACAAACATTCACCAACAACAACACATACAAGCACACACACATTTTCACACACACGTAAACACAGTGTTTCACACACATGTATATTTAGATACATACGAACACATATATAGGTGCGTATAAACACACACACGCACACACCGACAAAAACATCAATAAAATTGCACGCGAACATATACACACAAACAATCGCACACATAACCACAAACCCATGCTTTCACACAAACACAGGCACTTACTTACACACATAGCCACAACCACACACACACAACTATTATGCAATAGCCAATCAATGAATCAACATTGCCTACACCAACTATCACTCGCCATCTGCAACATTTGGTGAAAAAAAAAACAGCATGTAAAATATGACTTAACTTTCCTTAGATCACACAGTGACTATGGCAGTCGAAGTAGAGTTCCCCTGTCTTACTGACCTAGGCATGATAATAGATAATGTATTCAGAGCTAAGACCTGCCGACCTTTGACAAACTAGATTTTAAATTTTGAAGCGTTAATTAATTTGCGAATTTCTTCCATTCGTTAACATAAATATATTTTAAATTTCCATTCCATGATAAGGGGAATAAATTAGAGCTAATGGATTTAAAAATATTGGTTGAGTTTGAGTTCAATATTTTATATACCACACAGTATAATGTTAGCTTTGGTGTATTTTAATGCAGGTATTTTATAGACATTAAAATGTTAAATTTAGTTCAAATGTTTAAACAATCTATTCAGTTAATAAGGCTGTGAGTTTTTTAAAGATTTAAGTTAGTTTGCCAATACAATTTTCTCTAGGTTGTAAACTATTTTCTCGATAAAACAATCATTGCGATTTTAAGCAGTCTTACGATCCCATGTTCAATATTTTCATTATTCTGTTAATTAAATATTTCATCATGCTGATACAAGAAACAAGTGGACTCTACTTCACTTGCCCCGTTGACCGTCAGGTTTGAAAGGTAACTTTACTTGTTAAAACTAACTGGCCAATCAAAGCTTTGTCAAATTTTATCGAATTTTAAATTACTATGTCAATATAACTTTCATGTAAAGTAGAAAAACAAGTTTAACAACATGAAACTTAGCTACCAACATATCTTAAACGAGCTTTTACGTTTACGCTTTTTTTACCGTCATCAAAAATCAGAATTTGATAGCCTCAATTCTAATTCACGTCAAATCAAAACTACAACCTAACATCACCATGCATCTCAGTCTAAAAAATTGATAAACCACCCACCACTTCAGTCAAGCTTTGCACACATCACCTATCAAACTAGATCTTTCAGTCCTAAACGATCGGAAAATAAACGTCTTAGACGCGTGATTTTCATCGCGTTACTTTTTACTTCGAGTGGAGGCAATCACTACGCCGGAGATTTTCGTATTAGAAAGGCGCGTCCCGCGTTTGTTGTTTGGTGCAATCTTGGTGCGTTTAAATTATTGTCTGTGCGCATTATGTTTGCACTCAGATAGAGAAAGTGATACTAGCCTGTTAGTTTCATTACACAGGAGTAACAATAACCATGTAGGTCTTTATTCATTACTTAAACGTGTATGTGAATTGGATCAAAAGGTTCGCTAAGTAAAAAAAAAAAGATATATTTTTTCTTCAAAACTTCAAAATTTAAACTATTCCCTTTTATACAATATTACATGTGTTAAAATTTAACGGAACAAATGTTAACGAGTCACTAAGTACTTTAACGTACGATGCTATTTATGCTGTGTTGCTAAGTGGAGAGAAATATAACGATCGATAGCGTACCTAAGTTAAAGATTATCGGCATACAAACTATGTCCCGTACAATGCTGTAGGCTAGTGTACAGTATGCTGCACGGGATATGTTTTTGCTGTATAGTGTTGAAATAAACATCACTTTGTATAGCCGATGCTTGGGAAAGGAAAAATGCAACCTTCTGAAAAATCGGAAACAATCATAAATTCGTTTTTTACTGTTGATTGTGATTTTAAGATAGTAAAACCATACTCACTTGAAAAACAAAAATTGAGAATTTTTTTTCTAGAATTAATTAATTGACCAGAAAAATTAAGTGATTACTGCTAAAACAGGTGTCTTAGTTTTAAAATCAAAACAAATAATATTATTATCCACGTTAAAGGCTACTTTGAAGTAGATTTTGAATATTCTTCAAAAATATTAACTTATTGATGATTAAACATTAAAATGATTGCCTTTTTCATGTATCAGATTTTGTAAAAAATCTGTAGAAATCTTGAAATTTCTAGAACATGTTTAAAAATTGATTAAAACGGCTATTAGTGTCAAAAGCTATTGACAAGGTTTTTTATTTAAAAAATCGTTAGCACTAATATATTGCAAATAAAATAGTAGCAGACATCTAATTAAAAAAATAATTTAAAAAACTATAAGCAGAGTTCTATTTCCATTTTATTGTATTTAATTACTTAAGGCAGACATCCAAGTATAATAGAAAGTAGTTGGAAATTTTCTTTATTAAGAAATGTTTTTCGTTCCAATCGAATGTTTTCGCCTTTAAAGGTAACTCATTTGTTAGTTCGTCTGTAATGATTTCTTTACTTCGGCAGCTCGCCGAGAAGAGGTCGTGACCTCTCACCTCCACTCATGGGTCAGCTGACGCTCATCTTGACCCTGACTCTACTGCTTGTGACCCAGGTAAGGCAAATCGCAACATATATTAAACATGACTAAATTACAAATTTACAAAAAAAAAAGTAAAATATTTTTTTTTAAATTTGTGTTTTAAAAGGTGTTAGTAGCATGTATTAAAAAGATCACTAGAACAATGAATGATTTTACTATTTTTAGGAAGGAAAACTGATTTTCTTTGTTTAGTGCATATAATAAACGTTTTAAGGTTAATTAATAATTATAAAGGCATTTTATACAAGTATTATTTTTAGTTTTTATATGTACCCATGAATAGTGAAATGCAATTGTATTTCGCTATACAATTTAAAAATGAGAACTACTATCTTATTTAGTCTTTACAATCCGAAGATTCCTCTAAATCTTCCCTTGATGAGAGAGCAGTGACTTATCTAGTTAAAATATTACAAGCTTTAATAAAGGGAGTTAAAATAATTACATTTTATAGGGGAGAATGGTAAAACCAAACCTATAATGCAAAATTAATGGAGGGGGTAAAAGGGGGTGACGCTCCCAAGTTATACTGCATCGAGTGACACTCTCCCTAGTGACGCCACTGAATACTCGTCAGCCTGGTGTTTTACAAGTAGCTCCCCCCTCCCCCCTCCATATTTCTAAATGCCGTCTGACTCCATGTTTCCATCCCCCAGACCAGATCCCAGGAAGACGAGTGCCTAAAATGCGCCTTCAACACCGACTGCTACGACAACGCCTGCCACTGTCTGCAAGACTTCTATGGCGACCCTCACTTCCATTGTTACCATAGCGACAGCAGATTTTGCTCGTGGGTGATTTACTTATGTGTATCATAGTACATAGTTTTTTACTGCTAGAATTAATTTAACAGACGTTATAAATTTATAAGTGATTCAGTTGTCTTTTGATTATCTTTGGATTTCAAGTTAAATTTTAATGTTATTTAAGACTTTTTTTAGAATATTTTAAAACAATTTAGAAAATTTCAAATGCTAATTCTTAACTTTTTCGAAATATGGATTAAAAAATAAATAAAACAAATTTAATACTGGAGTGGTATCTATGTTGTTACATTTAACTGGGTATGGAGAAATCTCAGAAAAGTCTACAGTTGGTGATGTAGAATGCGTTTACGATCCTTAATCCGGAGATAAAGCTTTTGTAAAGATTGGAAGACGAATTTTATTATTTTTTGAAAAAAAAAATAGCTTCTAGATTTGGGAATCGAAATAATCAGATATAGATTTAATTCCTGTAAAGAAAATAAACGACAATTTTAGTAAAATATATTCATTAATCTAATTCAGGTTATCATTTTGTCAAATTGAACCAAGTTGTCTTCAATCATAAATGTTTAAAAATGATAGCTAATATTACAATCGATTGTGACCGAATTTATTTTTATTTTAAAAACATATACGACAATATTAATTTTTTTTTTTTAATTTCATAGGCAATACCATCCCAACTTAGGCTAGTTTTGATATCTAGATTTTTTTTCAAGCCTCCTTTCGTGGAAGGGGAAAGGACACTCCCGAGAAAAAAATATCTGAAAGAAGCTCTTTTGAAATCCCCAATGAATCAACTATATTTGTTTTAGAATTTTTAGTTAATATTCTTAATTGTGTCCGTTTCCAAAATAAACCAAGACCACATGGACTTTACCTTAAATGGTATCCAGGAAACAGAAAATATTTAGTTAGTCACCTTAGTTAGTCTCCGGGAAACATAAAATATTTAATTAGTCACATTGTGTCTATTACCAGAATAAGCAGCGACCCCGTGGACCTTACCTTTGGAAAACAGAAAATCCACCTGGAAATGTTCGCCTCCACCAAGGCGGTTCAGATCGCCACTAAGCGAATGGCCAGTGGCTTGGGCTTCTGCAACTTGACCATGTGGATCAACAGCAAACGACGCCTGGGCAGAATTTATGTCGCTGGGGTCCAGGTAAGTCAGTGGCGATAAAAGGGTTCGTAACTTTTTACAAAAATTAATTAGATATATTGATTAAGCTATTGAAAAAATAACTTTTTTTTTCAAAATGAGTAAGAAAGTTTTTTATTTTTTCACAGGATATATAACACAAAATAAGACATTTACTACACCCATACCTCATATAAAGCTGTGTAAATTGTTGTTATAGAATAACCCCTTACAGGCCAACTATAAAATACTTCGAGACTCTCAACCTCCATACGAAAAGATGCCTGGAAGAAACTCTACATATAATAATATCCTAAGCCTAACACAAATATCAGACACTTATTGCAAGCAGTATCAAAACTTTAAATGAAATGCATTTGTATGATGTATTAACTATTCTTAAATGACGTCACCAACGATGCATGTGTGTTGTTGATTTCAGTTTATCCTCGCGCAGACGACAAACGGCAGGGTGTACTCGGTGGAGGCTCGGATTACCGGGCAGGTGATTAACGGTAATCTGTCGTCTGCTTCATGACGCCATCCGTCACGTGTTTGAAAGACTTAACACAATGTTACACACACACCCACACCCACACATACACACCCCCGATCCAACCGTATACATGTACCCTATACACTGATACTCATACGCACACACGCAAACACACACTCAGACGTCACACACGCACACATATAAAACATGTATGCATACAATATATTATTGTTAGAACAATCAACGATTCTAAATTGCATTATTTTTGTATTTGCTTTTGTACATTGGGTTTTTTTTCTATGAAGAAAGGGAAAATGAACACACTTCACTTTTTATGCTAGTTATTAATCAGCTGACATTATCTAATATTTTTGTCACATAAGTACACAAATTTCGTATTTTTTAAAAGTCATTTTTTTTCATCATGAAACCTCCATGTTAATTATAATCTTGTGTATATTAAAACGTTTTTTTTTCCACAAGAAATAAAAAAAAAACAACACTAAAACAGTTTTCAATTGTATTTTAAGAGTTAACCAACACTTATATCTCAATGGGGCTGGTAAGTAGGTCACCAGCCAGTTCTACGGCTCAATAAAACCTGCATGCTCCATAGAACTGGTCAGTGACCTACTTACCAGCCCTATATGACGTAATGTACCTGTTACATAAAAAAAAATTAGTACTGTATTTCTTCTTAGTTTCGTTATTTGATATGTATTTCCAGATGTCCTACGAATAAACTAACATCACAGTTGTGTAACATGTATCTCCAGGCACGTACGAGTGGGCGGTGTCTCACAAGAAACAAGGCACCAATGTCTTCACCCCGTGGCTGCTGCTCCGTAGCGACAGTCCCATGATCATCAAGAGGTCAGGTGTCCTGCAGGCCTGCGACCTCTACCTGACCAGGCTGGAATCGCACATCGTCATAGTCAGCCTGTCCTGTTGTGGGGTCGTCTTTGGGTTACGGCCGTACAATCCTACTGACCCCAGCGCTAGACCAGGTAAGTTAAATGGGGTCGTACAATCCTACTGACCCCAGCGCTAGACCAGGTGGGTTGATTGGGGTCGTACAATCTCAATGTCCCCAGCGCTAGACCAGGTGAGATAAATGGGGTGGTAAAATCTTACTGACCCCAGTTCTAGACCAGGTGAGTAAATTGGGGTCGTATATTCTCACGGACCCCAGCGCTAGAACAGGTGAGTTAATTGGGGTCGTACAATCTTACTGATCCCAAAGTTAGACCAGGTAATTCAATTGGGGTCGTACAATCCTACTGACCCCAGCGCTAGACCAGGTGGGTTGATTTGGGTCGTACAATCCTACTGACCCCAGCGCTAGACCAGGTGGGTTAATTGGGGTCGTACAATCCTACTGACTCCAGCGCTAGACCTGGTGGGTTAATTGGGGTCGTACAATCTCAATGTCCCCAGCGCTAGACCAGGTGAGATAAATGGGGTGGTAAAATCTTACTGACCCCAGTTCTAGACCAGGTGAGTAAATTGGGGTCGTATATTCTCACGGACCCCAGCGCTAGAACAGGTGAGTTAATTGGGGTCGTACAATCTTACTGATCCCAAAGTTAGACCAGGTAATTCAATCGGGGTTGTACAATCCTACTGACCCCAAGTTAGGCCAGGTGGGTTGATTGGGGTCGTACAATCCTACTGACCCCAGCGCTAGACCAGGTGGGTTAATTGGGGTCGTACAATCCTACTGACCCCAGCGCTAGACCTGGTGGGTTAATTGGGGTCGTACAATCCCACTGACCCCAGCGCTAGACCAGGTGGGTTAATTGGGGTCGTACAATCACACCGACCCCAATTAATGCTGACCTCAACGTTAACCAGATTATTACCCGCTAACACACACAAGATATAACACAATGTTCAACCATTTCCTACAACCCTCATTTTATATATAAGTACTGTCTTAAAATTCCTTTTATTTTGTGATATAGCAAATATATAACAAAGCATGATCAACATAAATTTATTTCTCAAAAGATTGTTTTGTTCTGTTGCAGGATTCTTCATAGAAGTCAACAAACCAAACCTCCCGCTTTTAACAGAAAACTGGGTCGAAGGCGAAGAACCCGTCTGTTTTGACGAAGGCTCCTTCACCATCGACAACGTCATCCAACGAACGGGAATCCCCGAGCCCAACAAGGCCTTGACCTACCTAGCCCTGACCAACTCCCCGCCGACCGACTACGACGGCGTGCCTCAGAACATCTCCAGGCTGACCTCGCTCCTGGGGAGTTGCCCCGACGACAAGCGGCTCCAGTTCTTCAGCCAGGGGTGGTTCGTTCTCTCGACCCGACCGTTGATTCGATGCGTGTCCGAGACCCCCGGGCTGGGGGACATCGTCGACTTGGCTGTCCTGGTGTTGGAGTGGTTCTGCCAGTCCAACTCGGCCAGCTGCCTGCAAGCGCAGCAGTGCATCAGTCGGTGCTTGCACGTGGTCGCCACACACGCGGACCTCCAAGGGTTCCTCAATGTCGTTTGTTAATGCTGACATTAATTTATTCCTAGATGGCTGGTGTTATTATTGGCATCTAGGCATTCCTAGATGCCTTTTAATAAAATATTGGCTTACGTGTATTCTTAAATGTCATTTAGAATTGACTTTCATGTATTACTAGATGACATTTGTAAGTTTTAGCATCCAGGTATTCCTAGATGGCATAAAAATTGACTTCCAGTTTCTCTTCTAATTTTTCTCAAGATTGTATAGCACTAAACCCAACCAAGCTTGACAAATCTATGTATAAATTATTTTATTTTTAGTTGCCAAGTATATATTTAAAAAAAAAAATAAAAGCCTAAACATATTTCCCATTTTTGAATCTGCAACTTTCTTGATACTTCTTGCTGTCAAATAAATCCATGTTTGCAAGACTAAGAAATTGTTGTTGGGCTAATTTTTATATTTTCTACAAACTTTTAAATTTTTTTTAGTAATCACTCAATCACTCAACGTTCAACCGCTCGTGATATATATATATATATATATATATATATATATATATATATATATATATATTTATATATATATATATATATATATATATATATATTTATTTATTTATTTATTTATTTATTTATTTATATATATACGCACACGCACGGCAGAACGCAAGCGTCACACACATGTATAAAATAAATATCTCACGCTTCTTCTTCTTCTTTATTACTGCCATGTCATAAAATTCTACCCACTAATGAGGTGGCACGTCATATTTAGTGGCAGAATACGACATATAAGACAGATGGACCTACGTGTCTAGAATTTTCTTCAGGTTTAAAACAAATTTTGATGATTATCACTGAGTATCTGTGCAGTCGATTGGTTTACAAAGTTATAAAAACGTACACATTTAAAGTAATTAAAAAATGTTTGAAAACTAATAGGGCTGGTAAGTAGGTCACCAACTAGTTCTATGACCCATGCAGGTTTCATTGAGCCGTAGAACTGGTTGGTGACCTAATTACCAGCCCTATTGCTAAGTTGCAAGACGTGTAAACTACAAGACAAAACCACGAAATGAGTTGCGATTTTTATTTTTAAAAACTTCTTTTGAAAAAACGTGGTATATAACTTCAGAAGCGTTGGGTAGTGTTTTAACACTTTGAATACTTCATGGGGTCAGTCCTGGGTGCCACGAACTCACCAGACTTTAGAACAATCGGCCTCAAAGAGTCGTCTGATACCGCTGTCATGGCGCATCTCCCCCGCGCACCGCTCTTTCAGCACATTCTGCGCGCTTCTACAGCTGGAGGAAACACCATGACAACACCAGTCCAGCACGAGCAGTAAAAAATCCACGTACCCGTCCCAGCCGGATCGACTTCCGCAGACACAGCTCTTCAACGGGGGGTGATTAAAAATGGACCACCAAATTGAGACCGAGAGCTTGTTCAAGATACTGAAGGAACATCTTTTTAAAGACGTTGTCAGCTGTAGGAGATTTTTCGCCGCGCCGAAAAAGTCGAGAGGCCCACCGTTCATCAGTCCAAGTAGGGTCATGGCCTTTTTTTGGTTTGTTATTCCCGTTTCCATGGAGATGTTTCTGGCAGCGTAGCCGTCCGTGTCTAGACAGAGGGGTTGCTGGGTGTTGCTCCAGCGGTCGAAGGTTGGTTGGTGTGTCTTGGTCACTTCAAGGAAAATACCTGGACGGGGGAATATAAAGAAAAAAAAAGTAAAGTTCCCTTTCAAACCTGACGGTCTACGGGGCAAGTGAAATAGAGTTCACTTTTTTCTTTGATCTCGGCGTAAGAAGGGAGAGTGTATTCCAGAGGCGTAGTGACCCTTCCCGGCGCCCGGGGACAAACTTTCGATTTTCACCCCCTCAAGCTTTCGATTTGCAACCCCCCCCCCCCCTCAAGCTTTCAATTTATTTTTCCAACCCAATTTGGCGCCCCCTAAGGTCGGCGCCCGGGGACATATGTTCCCCCCTCCGCACCCCCTCGCTACGCCTCTGGTGTAGTCAACACTATGCCTAGCCACCTTTACTTTCATTTACTTAAATCAGGTACCCATCACAGATGGGTGAACTCAGGGATGTTTCGAACTAATTCGGATTTGAGAATTTCAGGTTAGCAGTCTAACGCTCTACCGCTAGGCCACGCAATCCCATTCAACACTGCAAAAACCAAAACAAAACTGACCCGGTATGACCTTGGGCTCTGCAGGGTTGAAAGGTCGAATGCCGAAGAGGATGCCGCAGCAGATGATCTCGACCTTGAGGATGTGGGAGTCCATGAGGGTGAACTTGATGGTGCAGCTGTTGATGAGGATGATCTTGAAACGGATGGAGAGAAGCTCGTTCTTGAAGGTGTGGAGATGGACGAAGCTGCCTCGGTCCTGTAGACGGTACTCGACGCTCCAGGAGAACTTGCCTGTGGGGGGGGGGGGGGTGAAGAAAGGGGGGGGGTGATATATGAATACAGCATGGGAATAAATGAAGACAGAGGAGGAATTATTGAAGACTCCATGTCAAAATCAACACCAACATTATTATCCCCTTCAATATCTATTTAAACCAGTTCACGAGCAATAAAGTAAAGAGGACGTGAAACTGAACATAAAAAATAGCATTGCCCTAAGAGATAACATAGCATTTAACACTGATATTAACATAAGCAATCAACTGGTGAATTAATGCTAAACACCAACATTAGTATCAGCACCGACAGCAGCATACACTAATACACCATCAACATCAATAACAGCGTATCAGCACCAACAACAGCATACACTTAAATCAGCCTAAACTCCAATAGCTGCATCAACACCAACACCACAACTTTTATATTGAAATACTTGAACATATAAATACAATCATCGTAGTCTAAAGTTCAATATAAACAAAATCCCCACCATTTAGAGCTGAAGTCAGGATCCTAAGCTCATAGAAATGCTGATTTTTCAAAGCATCAGTTTGGGTCAGACGGAGCTAAAAAACAAAAAAACAAAAAACAAATTAAAACACATAACTAATACAATATGTTAATTAGTCTGATCAAAATTCCCTGGTCCCCCTATATCGTATGTGCGATATAGGGGGACGGAGTGGCCTAACGGTATATGGACTGCCAACCGGTAAGTCTCGAGTTCGAATCCGGCCTCAACTTAGTAGACCGTCACTGAGTCCACTCATCCCTGATGGGCACTCAAAGAAAATCCCTGCACTTTATGTGGACACCCGATTACTGATATTACCTGTACTTTATGATGTAGAACACCCCATTACAGTTATTACCTGTACTTTACGTGGACACCCCATTACAGATATTACCTGTACTTTATGATGTAGAACACCCCATTACATATTACCTGCACTTTATGTGGACACCCCATTACAGATATTACCTGCACTTTATGTGGACACCGCATAACATATTTTACCTGTACTTTATGACGTAGAACACCCCATTACAGTTATTACCTGTACTTTACGTGGACACCCCATTACAGATATTACCTGTACTTTATGTGGACACCCCATAACATATTTTACCTGTACTTTATGATGTAGAACACCCCATTACAGTTATTACCTGTACTTTACGTGGACACCCCATTACAGATATTACCTGTACTTTATGTGGACACCCCATTACAGATATTACCTGCACTTTATGTGGACACCGCATAACATATTTTACCTGTACTTTATGACGTAGAACACCCCATTACAGTTATTACCTGTACTTTACGTGGACACCCCATTACAGATATTACCTGTACTTTATGTGGACACCCATAACATATTTTACCTGTACTTTATGATGTAGAACACCCCATTACAGTTATTACCTGTACTTTACGTGGACACCCCATTACAGATATTACCTGTACTTTATGTGGACACCCCATTACAGATATTACCTGCACTTTATGTGGACACCCCATAACATATTTTACCTGTTCTTTATGATGTAGAACACCCCATTACAGTTATTACCTGTACTTTACGTGGACACCCCATTACAGATATTACCTGTACTTTATGTGGACACCCCATTACATATTTTACCTGTACTTTATGTGAACACCCCATTACATATTTTACCTGTACTTTATGTGAACACCCCATTACATATTTTACCTGCACTTTATGTGGACACCCCATTACATATTTTACCTGAACTTTATGTGGACACCCCATTACATATTTTACCTGTACTTTACGTGGACACACCATTACGGATTTTATCTGCACTTTATGTGGACACCCCGTTACATATTTTACCTGAACTTTATGTGGACACCCCATTACAGATTTTATTTGCACTTTATGCGGACACCCTATTACAGTTATTACCTGTACTTTATGTGGATACCCCATTACAGATATTACCTGGACTTTATGTGGACACCCCATTACATATTTTAACTGTACTTTACCGGACCCCCCATTACAGTTATTACCTGGACTTTATGTGGACACCCCATTACAGACTTTTACCTGGACTTTATGTGGACACCCCATTACAGACTTTTACCTGGACTTTATGTGGACACCCCATTACAGACTTTTACCTGGACTTCATTGATGTAGGACTTGCCCTTGACCCTCTCGGTCATGGCCCACAGAGCCAGGTTACAGTGACCGCTCCAGAGAGCCACACGGTTGGTCCTGACCTCAGCCACGTAGCTGGACAGCAGGCCGTTGACGCTGAGTCGCTCACCCCCAAAGGTGCGGACCACGGGGTCGTAGGTGATGCTGAGGAATTAGTTCAGTAAGTATAAAGGTAGGGACCACAGGACCACGGGACCACAGGGCCACGGGGTCGTAGCTGATGCTGAGGAGTTAGTTCAGTAAGTGTAAAGGTAGGGACCACAGGGCCACGGGACCACAGGGCCACAGGGCCACGGGACCACAGGATAATGGGATCACAAACAACATGTCAAATGGACCACAGGACCACATGATCATAGCAGAGGCTGAAGAGTTAGTTCAGTAAGTATAGGGCTGGTAAGTAGGTCACCGACCAGTTCTATGGCTCATGCAGGTTTTATTCAGCCGTAGAACTGGTAGGTGACCTACTTACCAGCCCTATAAAGGAAGGGACCATAGGGCCATGGGAACATAAGACCACGGCACCACAGGACCACAGGGCCACAAGATCATAGCTGTCGCGGAGGAGTTAGTTCAGTAAGTATTAAGGACGGGACCACAGGACCACAGGACAACGGGACCACAGGACCACGGGACCACATGATAATGGGATCACAGGACTACAACATCATAGCTGACGCTGAGGAGTTAGTTCAGTATGTGTAAAGGAAGGGACCACAAGACCACAGGACCACAGGACCACAGCATCATAGCTCACGCTGAGGAGTTAGTTCAGTATGTGTAAAGGAAGGGACCACAAGACCACAGGACCAAAATGGCTGCGGGACCAAAACAACCTCGGGATAATGGGATCACATGACAACACGACAAAAGGACCACAGGACCACCAATTATAGCTAAGGCTGATGAGTTAATTCTTTTGGTATAAATGTCGGGAACAGTCGACCATAGGAGCACACGGCCCACCAATCATGGCTGAGTCTGACCAGTTAGTTCAATAAGTTGAAAGGACGGGAACACAGAACCACGGTACCAAAAAGCTTTAGGACCACGGACCTCAGGCTAGTAGCTGGTAATTAAGTATTACTTGTAATGCGCCATATAAGCTGTTGACTCCGATTTCAGCCGGCTTTAATTGTAACTTTAGGATTTGCTTCCATAGCCTTTGTCCAACCAAGAACAAATTACAAGGCAGCAGTTGTTTGGTTTTGGAGTTGTCTCTCCTAAGTGATTTGCTGTCACCAGCTAACGAGCCTCATCTGCCCGTAGGTTTGAACTACTGACTTTTTGTTTCATCAAATATGAGCTTAACCAACCCGACCTCCAAAGAGCGATCAATCGAAGGGATTCACGCACTAACTTTTCTGAATGGTGCTCTGCACTCTAAAACCTGACCATCTTTTGCTAAATGTGTTAACAGATAAGTTTACTAAGAGGATGATATATTTTCTTATAAACATAACAATGAATACGTTCTGTTGGCTGTGGATACTTAAAGTTGCAGCAGTTGCTTACGAGCAGTAGGCGTTGTTATTGTGGTAGCAGTGGAAGTACGGGTTGCCGAGGTGACCTGCCAAACACAGACATTTGTTGTTGACGCAGTGGGTATTGGCGGCACAACTGTTGCAGGTACTTATCCAGCTGAACCAGGTAGCCTGTAAATAGAGAAATTATAGACAGTCTAGGCACAATTGTCGCAGGTACTTAACCATATGATACAAGTAGCGTATTGAAATAGGTAAATTATAGACAGTAGGCACATTTGTTGCCTGGTGAAATAGGGAAATTATAGACAGTCTAGGCACATTTGTTGCAGGTACTTATCCACAAGAGACAAGTATTCTGGTGAAATAGGGAAATTATAGATAGTCTTGGCACATTTGTTGCAGCAACTTATCCATATGAGACAAGTAGCCTATTAAAATTATTTAGAATATGCTTTATGAAAACGTTCTATAAAACTATAAGATTCCCAAGTTTTTTGAGAAACCGTCAAATTCGTTACCAGAAATCTCTCAAACTATTAAAAAATATCTATGTAAAGGATCTTATATTTAAAATTGTATCCATTTAAATGAAACGGTAGCCTACTCTAGTTATCGTATATGGAGAAAGATGAAAAGATGAAAAGCTGTGTATAAGATATGTCTTTTTGTTTACATTAACAGTACTTTCTTAAAAGTAAAAAAGAAAAATATTTAAAAAAAAAACTTCATAGCAACAAGGTTTTAAGTGGACTGATAATATAAAAATAAACTAATTTGCTTTTTTTAATAAAAGCTTTGGTCATTCAAGAGATCTTTTACATATTTTAGCGACTACAGCTTTTATTTTAAAAAAAAACAAATTAGTTTTATTTTCTTATTTTCAGTGCACTTAAAATCTTGTTGCTATAAAGGTTCTTTATATTCGTTTTATTTTCCACTTTTTAGTGATTCCTAATTTATGAAGTCGACACGATTAAAAACATTTGTTTTAAAACACCATAAGTAGCTCGCAATATCTGAAAGATGATTATCTGCCCGTGAAAGTAGCCGTCCGTGACCACAATTTACAGACAACAGCAAGTTATTAATCTTGTTACCTCCCCTTAGTTTCAAATGGTTATAAACGTTATTATCTGCCCCTAATAGCCTTCACTTGATCGACCGGCTCTACGAGTGTAAACATTCTGAGTCTAGCTAGTTATCTACCCTTCTGTTACTGAATATAGTAATCTATCGAGTGATTTAATGTTATCTTCCCTTAATTTCGAAACCGTTTGATTATTTTTAATGGCCCTTTAAATCTAATAAAATATAAAAAATATAGACTTGTATTGTCATCAAAGAGTAACGTATCTGAAAAGTTTGTACAAAAACGCTGCCACAAACCCACAAACAAACAAACCAACAAACAAACAGATGTTGCGAACTAAATAAAAGCTTTTAATAATAATAATAAAAAAACAACTTACTTGGACGTACGCCAACGACGCGGCGGTCAACAGCAAAAATATCCAACTCATTCTGGCGAAAGTGAACTGAAAATAAACCGGGAGTGATCTGCCCTAAACTTTCTCGAATATTCTTATATAACTTGAAATATAGACATGATTTTTAATTACTTAAACTTTTAAAAATAGAATAGATTCTCATAGAAAAAAGAATTGCGCACCAAGCGAACGCCAAAACAAAATGTGCATAATAGTGCGCAATATTATTAGTACTTTATAAATTTACATGCGTTTTTTGAGAAATCGAAAATAGCGTAAATTAGTACTTCCGGTCAACGGAAATTACTCAAAGTTTGACAAAAGGCAGAGAATTAGATCTTTTACTTACATGTGAAATTTCATTTATCTATCTGAAATAGTACTCAAGTTATAGGCTTTTGAAAAATTCACATTAGAAAAAGTACCACTTCCGTTTTTCGGAAATCGCTCAAAAGTTGATCAGGATCTACGATTTTGATAAAATACTTATATATAAAATTTCATCAACCTAGCTATAACGGTACTCAAGTTATCGTGTTTACACACAGACAGACAGACACACAGACATACGGACAAGATTGCAAAATTATGTTTTTCCGTATCAGTGAGGTGTAAAACGTCGAAATTTGTAAAAATCTCGATTTTTTTTTTGCACGATTATAAGACTTTCTCTATACGAGAAAGTAAAAAACATTAAAAAAGAAACATAAAAGTAGGTTATATCCGGTACGGTGTATTTATAAATACATTTTCGAACTAGAATAGTCAATTTTGCAGTCGCACAAGAGTTAACCTTTTTATTTAAATTTTAAAAATTAATTAATAGTGTGGAAGGCTTTATACAGATCCGCCTAAACTTTCATTGACCCAAGGAATGGAACATATCTTGCTACATTTGTAGCAGTAATCACACGCTCTAACACTCAGCCGTGTTTATGTAAGAGTAAATGTTCGTTTATTGCTCTGGACTATAAGCCGTGATCTCTTGGTCTAACACTCTATACGTTGCTATTATTTGACTGTTGTGGGTGGATCAATCGTGACTGTTGTGGGTGGATCAATCGTCACGCGAGGCGAAACTGAATCATATATATATATATATATATATATATATATATATATATATATATATATATATATATATATATATATATATATATATATATATATATATATATATATATATACAGACATATATATATATATATATATACAGACATATATATATATATATATACAGACATATATATATATATATATATATATATATATATATATATATATATATATATATATATATATATATATGTATATATATATATATATATATATATATATATATATATATATATATATATATATATATATATATATATATATATATATATATATATATATATTGCTTACTTTCTGTATCCAATTGTCAGCTAAATTTTAACGAATATATTTTGCGGAATTCTTTACTGTTTACCTATTCACTTGATTAAGAAGTTAAACACTCTAAAACTCTGCAGGTATTTTCAGAATGTTCCAGAAAGAACAGATCAGATGCAGACAAGCTGTATTCTGCCCACTCTCTGAGTTGCTCGTAGTCTTCAGGTGATGAGTGGTCTTTATAAACCACCGGACAGGCCTAGCAAGCAGACTTCAAATAGAGAGTTTTTATTAAGGCCGGCATAAAATTGACTTCAAACACGAAGAGCTCGCTTCAAACTAAAGGAAATAAACCCAGATGATGAAAGAATAACCTACAGTTTAAAGCAACGTAAAACCGAATCATAAATATTTATTATAACCGTTGTAAAAATTCGACGGTGATTTACACGTTTTTGTGAGAGTTGCAATGTTATTTTATAACACTTTAATTCTGTTTTAATTAGCGGGTTACACTGCGTAGCCCACCAGGGCAGAATTGATTAGATTACAACAATAAGCTGTCTAATTAGGGATTTAATGGGCATGCGCAGATGTGCTGGTTTTAAAATAGATTAGAGCTAGGCAAGTACAGTGACTTTTATCAACTTTTATTGCGTCTTTTGATGAGTTTACATTTAACGATTAGCCAGGTGGGTCTAATTAACGATTAGCCAGGTAGATCTAATTAACGATAAAATAGGTAGAGTCTGACCACTACACAACGATAATCTTTTTCTTAATTTTTGTGTTTTAAGAGATCCCCTCCAACACATTTAAGTATACATGTCAACTGGTTATGCGCCATTGACTCCGATTTCAGCCTGCTTTTCTTTTTGGATTTGCTTCCATAGCCTTTGTCCAACCAAGAACAAATTACAAGGCAGCAGTTGTTTAATTTTGGAGTTGTCTCTCCTAGAAGATTGGCTGTCCCCAACTAACGAGCCTCATCTGCCCGAGACTCATCTGAACTCGAGACTTTTCGGTTTAGCAACCATTAGCTTTACCTACTTGACTACAACGACAATAATTTTATACTTTTCATCCATCTTCTCTGTTCCGCCACACTTTAAAATATTTTTTAATGTATTTAGAAAAACTTTTCCAATCCGTTTAAAAAAATCAGTAGGTTTTTCCGACTCAAGGAGAAGTAAAACGCCGAGATTTGTGAAAATCTCGATTACGATTTTTTGCACGATTACAATACTTCCTCTATACTTAGTATACAATAAAGTAAATAGAACATAAACAGAATTCGAGTACTTCTTTATAAGCGCCACATTAACTGAGCTATATATCATAGTGGTCTATATATCAAAGTGTTCTGATAATGGGTCATCCATAAATGACATCACGCTTTTTTGACGATTTTTACCTCACCCCTCCCCTCCGTCACACGTCGTCACAAAAAGCCAGACCCCCCCCCTAAAATGACGTCACACCTCAACCTACAATCAGTCTCAAAATTGCAGTTGAATTTTTTAAAAACATCGATATTTTTCCAAAATCTTGTCTAAACTGTTACAATTTATTAAAACAGTTATCTAAAACGCGAAATAACGTCTAAAATTCGTTTTCTAACATTGCTTTTTTATAATGCAAAAATGTGACGTCGCAACATCTGAACCTCCTTCCCCCTCATCACACATCGTCACAAAATTACGAACCCCCCTTCCCCCCTACGAGTGTGACGTCATTTATGGATGACCCCTAAGGGGTGAACTTAACTTCAAACTTAACATAAGGCTATCGACTGAGCTAAAGATGAAAGATGTATGATTAGAGAACTACTTTACTACCAAATTAACACAAGGTAATCGATTGAGGTAGACATTATTGTGGTATGATTAGGAATGTACTTAACTACAAATTTAAAATAAGGAAACGACTGAGCTAAACATCATACATGTATAATTATGGATGTACTTAACTACAAACTTAACATAAGGCCATCAAATGAGCTATACATGATAGATGTATGATTAGAGAAGTACTTTACTACAAACTTAACATAAGGCCATCAAATGAGCTATACATGATAGATGTATGATTAGAGAAGTACTTTACTACAAACTTAACATAAGGCCATCAAATGAGCTATACATGATAGATGTATGATTAGAGAAGTACTTTACTACAAACTTAACATAAGGCCATCGAATAAACTATACATTATAGATGTATGATATGGAAGTACTTTACTACAAACTTAACATAAGGCAAGGAATGTACTTAACTACAAATTTAAAATAAGGCAATCGACTGAGCTATACATCATACATGTATGATTAGGGATGTACTGAACACAAACTTAAGATAATCGATTGAGCTACACATCATAGTGGTATGACAGTGGTATGTACTCAATTAGAAACTTGTCCAAATGCACGTGAGAAACCAACAACAAAATGTTTCTACACGTGCAGAACATGAGTTGATGTTGAGTGCGTGAGTGCATGCGTGTGGTCTATTGATTGATGCGTCTAAATGCAAGTGATTTTTTTATCATTAGTTGTATAGTCACAGGTAAGTGATGTTTGATTATTTTTAGTATCATTACAGTTAAGTAATGTTTCATTGATTTGCATCTATCAATACATATGTTTATTATACATAATGTATGCTAGAGTATTAGTATGGATCACTAAAGGTAATGTATACTATAAATGTTGGAAATAAAGCACTTAATTTAGAGCCAAGTATGTATCATATTTTGTTACGAACATTTTTTCATTCTAGCAACCAAAATAAATATACCGGGATTGATCCCCCTAAACTTTCTCGAATATTCTTATATAAAACAACAGGGGATGGAAACTCGGGATATAGTTATGATTTTTAATCCATTTTAAATACTTAAACTTTTAAAAATAGAATAGAATCTCATAGAAAAAGAATTGCGCACCAAGCGAACGCCAAATAAAGATGTACTAATAATATTCCGCACTATTATGCACATTTTGTTTTGGCGTTTGCTTGGTGCGCAATTCTTTTTCTATGAGATTCTACTAGTGTAAACAACTGATGGCCAATGTGCAGTTTGGCTGTTGATTTTTCGTTATATCGACCTAGCTCTGTTGGATATTGCTGAACTTTAAGATGACGATAATCGGCTTATTTACCTCAACTGTATTGCCACGTCTACCTAAAATTGTATGATCGACATTATATATATATATATATATATATATATATATATATATATATATATATATATATATATATATATATATATATATATATATATAGGCCTACTTATCTAGTGGAGGAATAAAATTAACTCTTACAAATAAGGGTTAATGTAATGCTCTTAATGCATTTTATTTTGTTTGTTAAGGGATTGTTTGAATGTTTAAACTACAAGCTTTTTTTCAAAGTGAGGCTTCTAAAGTATGATTTCTTCCACATTAATAAACTTCGAAACCTCTCCTCTCCCCACAATTCTAATGCTAGCATCAGTTGTCATTGCTTTCTGCTTGAAGACTTTGGTCCATCCCTAGATCTGTGAATACAGTTGTGTTGTCAAGATGCGGTAGAATTTTTTCGGGGGGGGGGGGGGGGGCGGGGGCGAAGCCCCTCCCGAACAGATGCCTGGAAGAAACTTTGATATCGAAGCAGTAATCTCCCATAGCAAAACGTTCTTTGAATTTAAAAACTTCTTTTTCGATCTTAATTCTAGTGTTGGAAGGGATTCCCTCCAACATAATTTTTGTGACATATATTTACTTCTAATCGCTTGTATATACCTTTACACAGTCAACACGTTTAAATGACAAAAAATATCATTCAAATATTTAACTTTTAATCAAGCAGTGGTTCTATTGCGTATATTTTTAGTAAAATAATTATGCATAATAAAATTAGTTGCATTGTATTAATGAAAACGATATAAATAAAAAAACATTTTATCTTTTTAAACTATATTAACTATTCTAAAATTATAGTTATCAAAGGGTACTCGTTGCAATAAAATAATACCTTTTAATATCCCAGAGACAAATACATCAGTTACATAATAGGGGTAAAATGAGATATCACAGTTATTTTAACAGATCATTTTTTACAGTTGAATAACGACACAGCGATCGACATGATGTAGTTGTAAGATAAAAGGCACGCAATTCTTGTCGCTGAATTCCCAGAGTTATCGGATGTTCCTGTCGTTGTATGGGCAGCAGTGGATGTGTGAGGGGAGGGTGTAAGTGACGTGGTCGAGGGGTAGGAACAAATCCCATCTACCTCCACCATATCATCGTGCAGGCAGCAGAGCGTGTCGTGCGTCCAGTCGCACGGACTGATCATGTAGTCGTTGTAGAGGTTGATCCCAACCCCGCAGATAGAGCACTGGTTACACTGCCAGGGGTAGGGCTCAGAGCCCTGGGTTAGATAGAAACCACCCTTGCATGTGATTTCTGTGTCATGGGTTGCATTACATTCGACGATTGCCAGTCCGTTCTGTGAAGAAGCATGAAGATGTTTTACAGTTAGAGTTTAGAAGTTCGTGATTGATATCCTAGCATTGATTCTCATGAGTAAAAGCTCATAATATCCTAACAGGGCAACTCACAACTTTAATCTCATACTATCGTAGAATTGAGGCTCATATTTAAATCTCAAACTATCCCGGCATTGAAGCTCATAACTTAAAGCTTATACTAACCCAGCATAAACTCATAATTTAAAGCTCATAACTTAAAGCTTATACTACACAATTAGGCAAGCAAAGTTTGGTTTTGATGTTAATAACAAGAATAATATTGGGAGGAGTTTTGATATGTTTTTGGTTGCTCGTCGTCTTCCAAATATGGCATTTTAAAAACTATTAAATATAGACATTATAGTTGGGAGGGTATAGTATACTAACGGCAGGCAGATAATTAGTATTGGAAATTAATCAATTGAACGTAAACTTCATTATTGATTAAGTAATAAGAACAAATTTGAAGTTTTATTTGTAGGGGAGGTCATTCTTAAATTTCGTATACCTGTGAAATTAAGAATAGCCTCCCCTAGAGCTAAAACTTACAAGTATTAAAAAAAAGTTTAAAATAATTTACCGAGCCGGGTTGTGAACACGGCCTACAGATCTTGGCTCTGTTGACCGCCATGTCTGACGTCATGAACGTCCCCTGCGGACACGGCTCACACGCTGACCCCACCAGGTACTGACCAGCCGGACACACCTTGTCACGTGACGTTGGCTCC